GCTGTTGTCGCTGCTGTTGTCGCCGCTGTTGTCGCCGCTGTTGTTGTCTCTGCTACCTCCTGTTGCTGCTGCTGCCCCGGCCACCGCCTCCGCCACTGCTGCCGCCGCGCCCGGGCCCTGGCAGGCACGTGCGCCGCCTGCGCCGAGCCCGGGTGCCGGGTGTGCCAGGCCGACGGGGCCTGCCTCGTGTGCATGGAGCCGCGCCTGCTGCAAGTCCACCCGGTGACCGGGGTGGTGGCCTGCGTGGAGGCCTGCCTGCCGGACCACACGGCGGTCGCCGGGGTGGGCCAGCGGTGCATGCCGGCCTGGGAGCACGCGGCCACGGAGCTGTCGGTGCCGAGCGCCCTGCAGGACCCCGGGGCCGGCGGGCTGGCCTGCGTGGCCGAGTCCTGGCTGGCGGCCGGCCCGGCCGGCGGGCTGGGGCTGCTGCCGGCCGACACGCCGGCCGACCGGCTGGCGGAGAACCTGCTCGGCTTCCCGGCCGACGGGTCGCCGGTGGTGTGGCTGCGGCCGGGCGGCCCCGGGGCCGGGCCGCTGCTTCGCGGGCCGCTGCCCGGGGCCGGGGCCGAGCTCTTTGCCGGGGCCGGGCCGGTGCGGGCCGTGGCCGCCCTGCCGCCCTTCGGCCGCCCGGGCCAGGGGCACCTTTTTGCATGTGCCTCGGCGGCCGGGGTGTGGCATGCGCGCGTGGAGTGCACCGAGGCGCCGGGGGCCGGGGCGGGGGCGGCCTGCCCGGCCCGGGTGGCCGGCCCGGCGGCCCGGGGCCCCGGGTCCGGGCCGTGCGACCGGCTGCGGCCGGTGTCCCCGCGGGCCGTGGCCGCCGCCGGGCCCGACGGCCTGGTGCTGTATCACCTGCTGGCGGACGGGCAGGTGGCCGGGGCCCGGGTGCATGGGGCCGGGGCCGGGCCCGGCGTGCTGCCGGGGGCTGGCTCCTGTGGCAGGGCCCGGCCCGGCCGGCGGCCGTCCTCACGCCGCTGGCAATGCACCTGTCGGGGGATGCGCGCGTGGCCGGGCCGGGGCCGGGGCCGGGGCCGGGGGTGTTCATGCGGCGGCCCGGGGCGGCCGGCGGCGGCCCGGCCGGCACGGTGCTCCTCCTGCCGGGCACCCCCGGGCCGGGGCTGGTCCTGACCGGGGTCCGGCCCGGGCCGGCCGGCCGGCGGGCTGGTCTGGGAGGCGGAGCACCTGCCCCAGGGCCCGGGGCCGCACCGGCGGACCAGCGCCCTGCCCGGGGTGGGGCAGGTCCTGGGCGGCCTGCCGCCGGGGCTGGCCGTGCCGGCGGCCGAGGTGGCCTTCCACGCGGTGGCCCTGGGCCCGGGGCTGGCCATGCGCCCGGCGGCGGTGGTGCTGCTGGCCGGGCCGCTGGTCGGGGTGTCGGTGGTCTTCTGCCCGGGGACCGGGGGCTGCTGGCTGCAGCCGGCGCTCTTCGGGCAGCTGCCCGGGGCCGGGGCCGGCTGGTCGGCGGTCTTCGCGGCCCCGTCGGCGGCGGCCGGGCCCGGGGCCGCGGCCCTGCGCGTGGCCCTCCCCGGGGCCGGGGCCCCGGTGACCGTGGTGCTGGAGGCGCGGGCCTGTGCCAGCACCTCCACCGGCAGCCCGGGGCAGGTGGGCTTCCGGCCGGCCACCTACGGGCCGCTGTGTGCCCCGTGCGATGGCCTTTGCCGGGAGTGCGCGGCGGCCGGGCCGGGCGGGTGCACCGGCTGCCGGCTGCACCTGCCGGGCCGGGCGACCGCCTGCGCCGGCGAGTGCCCGGCCGGGCTGGCCCCCTCCGGGCCCGACAGCACCGGCGAGTGCCGCTGCCTGGGCACCTGCCGGACGTGCGAGCCGGCGCAGGCGTCGGAGCCCTTCGGGCCGTACCGGTGCACGGCCTGCGCGGCGGGGCACGCGCTGCCGGTCAATGCCGGGCTCCATCCCGGGGCCTGCCAGCCGTGCGCCGGGTCGTGCGCCGAGTGCGCGCAGCCCGGCGACCCGCTGGCCTGCACGGCGTGCCCGCGGGCCGGGCCGGCGGCCGGGCTCCTCCACCGGGGGGCCTGCGTCGGGGCGTGCCCGGCCGGGACCTGGCCCGACGGCCTGGCCGGGGCGTGCCGCGACTGCCCGGCCAACTGTGCCCAGTGCTCCGGGCCCGGGGGCCAGTGCGACCGGTGCCTGGACCGGCACTTCCCGGGCCCGGGCCCGGACGGCGGGTGCCACCCCTGCGACGGGTCGTGCGCCGCGTGCGCCGGGGCCGATGCCTGCACCGAGTGCCGGCCGGGGCTGAGCTTCCTGGCGGCCGAGTCGGGCCAGGCCGGCCTCTGCACGGCCCTCTGCCCCGGGGGCCAGTACGAGCAGGCCGGCCAGTGCGTCGACTGCCATGCAGCCTGCCAGCTGTGCGCCGGGGCCGGGCCGGACCGGTGCGAGGCGTGCGCGGCCGGGCACCGGTGGGGCCCGGCCGGGCCGGCCGCCGTCGGCTCGTGCGTCCCCTGCCCGGCCGGCTGCGACCAGTGCCTGACGGATGGCCGGTGCGTCGGCTGCACCGGCGGCCTGCTGCTCACCGATGCCGGGGCATGTGTGGCCACCTGCCCGGCGGGGACGTGGCCGGATACGACGGCGGCCCAGGCGTGCGCCCCGTGTGCCGGGAGTTGCGCCGCGTGCGCCGGCGGCCCCGGCGCCGACCGGTGCACGGCCTGCCCCCCGGGGTGGGAGCTGCTGCCGGTGCCCGGGGCCGAGCCCGGTCCGCCGGAGGCCGGCGGCCATGGCTGCTACTCCGGCTGCCCGCCCGGGGAGTATCGCCTGCGGCTGGAGGACCCGTGCGGGCCGTGCGCCGCCGGGTGCCTGACCTGCACCGGCCCGGCCATGGGGGACTGCTGGCGCTGCGCCGATGCCGGGCTCGTGCTGCAGGGGGCCGCCTGCGTGGCGGCCTGCGACCCGGGCTTCGCCAGCGTCGAGGGCCGGTGCATCGCCTGCCATGGCTCCTGCCAGGGGTGCGTCGGGTCCCGGAGCACCGAGTGCCGGGGCTGCGCGGCCGGGCTGCTGCCGGCCGTGGCCGGCCAGGCCACCGGCCGGTGCTTGGACTCCTGCCCGGCCGGCTGGCGGGCCACCCCGGCCGGGTGCGTCCCCTGCCCGGAGCAGTGCGCCGCGTGCGGGGCCCCGGACTCCGGGGCCTGCACCCGGTGCCAGCGCGGCTGGCTCCTGCACGCCGGCGGCTGTGTGGCCGACTGCCCGGAGGGAACCACCAACTTCGGGGGCCTGTGCGCCGCGTGCCATGGGTCCTGCCGGACATGCTTCGGCCCGGGGCCGGACCAGTGCGCCACCTGCCGGGCCCATGCCCCGCTGCAGGTGGGGTCCTCTTGCTGGGCCGCCTGCCCGGCCGGGATGCACCTGCTGGCGGCCGACCGGCCGCCCGGGGACCAGTGCGCCCGGTGCGCCGGGACATGCGGCACCTGCTCCGGGCCCGGGGCGGACCAGTGCACCGGCTGCCCGGCCGGGCGGGTGCCCTTCGCCGGGGCCTGCCTGCTGGCCTGCCCGGAGGGGTTCTACCCGGCCCCGGGGCCGGCGGCCGACGGCCCGGCCACCTGCGAGCCCTGCGCCAGCAGCTGCACCATCTGCACCGGGCCGTCGGCCGGCCAGTGCGGGTCCTGCCCGGCCGGCAGCTGGCTCCACCAGGTCACATGCGTGGAGGCCTGCCCCGGGGGGACGTTCGCTTGCTTCGGGACGCGGGCGTGCGCGCCCTGCGGCCCGGGGTGCCTGGCGTGCGAGCGCCTGCCCGCCGCCGGGGCCGCCTGCCAGCCCCGGTGCCTGGCCTGCCGGGCCGGGCTCTTCCTCACGTCGGCCGAGCATGGGGCCACCTGCGAGGCGGCCTGCCCGCCGGACATGACGGCCCCGGCCCCGGGCCGGGGGAATGTCTGCCTGCCCTGCGCCGGGCAGTGCCGCGGCTGCATCGACACCCCGGGGGCCTGCAAGCTGTGCGCCCTGTCGTACATGCTGATGGACTACGATGGGGGCCGGTCGTGCGGGGCCTTCTGCCCGCAGGATGGCACCCCGTACCAGCATGCGCTGGGGCTGGTCCCGGGCATGGGCATGGTCGGCGCGTGCCTCCACTGCCCGGCCGGGTGCGACGTGTGCGACGCGCCGACGCGCCTGCCCGCCTGCCGGGTGGACGCCCACACGGCGGCCCTCCTGTGCGACCCGGCCACCGAGTGCAACCGCTGCCGGCCCGGGCTCCGGCTGCTGACCCGGGCCCCGGGGGAGACGGCCTGCGTGGACGCCTGCCCGGCCGGGCACCACCCCGGCCGGGGTCTGGCCGGGGTGCCGGTGTGCCTGCCCTGCCCGGCGGCCTGCGTGGCCGGGTGCGGCCCGACCGGGCTCTGCCCCGGCCCGGGGCCCGGCAGCGACAGCAGCAGCGGCGGCGGCGGCGACAGCCACGGCGGCCATGTGCCGGGGGCTCGCCATGGCGTGTGTACGTGCTCTTCGCGGGTGCTCTTTGGCCCGACCCGGCCCCGGGCCGGCGGGCAGTGCCCGGCTGCCCGTGTTGCCCCCAGGTCCGACTAACCTTCGTGTGCCGTGCGCCCATGTGCGTCTGCTTGTCACCTCCCCCTGCCCCCCCCCCTGCAGTGGCCCTCGGCCTGGGCGTGGGCTTGGGCCTGCTGTTCCTCCTGGTGCTGGGTCTCGTGGTCTTTTTCCTGGTCTGGCGCCCTGGCCGGCGTGCGGCCCGGACCAACAAGGTGCGGCGGTGGCTCTGCCCCTGGCGCGCGCCTGGCATGGCCGGCTCTAACTTTTGCTGCCGCTTCCCCTGTCACTGGCCCTGGTGCCGTGCACATGTGTGTGCATGTGCGTGCTTGTGTCTTTTCGTGTACATGTATGGCTTTGCATTTTTCCGTGTCCATGGGCACATGCCTGTCCGTGTGCCCCCCGCCATGCCGATGAATGCCGGCCCGTGCCGGCGCATCCCCCTGCATGGCCATGCGCGCGTGCCGGTCCCCTGTCGGGCCCCTGCCTGCTTCGGGGCCGGACCCGAAAAAAAAAAAAAAAAAACCCGGCAGGCGGCCGACCTGGACGCCGACGCCAGTGCCACCGTGCTGAATACCATCATGGAGCTCTCGCTGCCCGGGCACATCCACCTCGGGCTGGACCACTTCGCCCCCCTGCCGGAGGAGACCCTCGGGGCCGGGACCCAGGCGGCGGTCTTCGCGGCCCGGTGCGTCGGGGCCGGCACCGCCGATCGCCTGGGCTGCCCGCCGGTCGTGGCGGTCAAGCGGCTGAAGGCCGACCGGCTGACCGCCACCCAGGCCACCCTCTTCCAGAATGAGATTGCCCTCATGTGGTGCGTCCGGCCCGGGCGTGGGCGTGGGCGTGGGCCACTTTGCTGTTCTCGCCCCTGGCTCGCCGTGCCGGCCCGCGCGCTCGGGGTTTTTTTTCTTCTTTTGCTGTAGCGCCCTAACCCGACGCCCGCCCGCCCGCCCACCCGCCCCGGCAGGATGCTCCGCGAGCACCCGAACGTGGTCCGGCTGTACGGCTACAGCGAGCAACCGCCGGCCATCGTCATGGAGCGCTTCCAGACGGACCTCGGCACGCTGCTGCACTCGGCGGTGCCGCTGGACCTGCCGGCGCTGGTGGACCTCTGCCACCAGTGGATCGCCGGGCTGGAGGCCATGCACACCAATGGCGTGGCCCACTGCGACCTGAAGCCGGGCAATGTGTTTGTCAGCCAGGCCGGGCCGGCCTGGCGGGCGGCCATCGGCGACCTCGGGGCCAGCCGCAACCTCAGCAACCGGTCGTCGGCCCTGGTGGCCGGGGTGCCGGAGCTGAACGCCCTGACGGCGCGGTACGCGGCGCCCGAAATCTTCGACGCCATGACCCGGCGCCGGCCCCTTGACCGGGCTCTCCTCCTGCCGGCGGACATCTTCAGCGCGGGCATCATGCTGTGGGAGTGCCTGTCGCGGCAGCTGCCCTGGAAGGGTGCGTGCATTTCCTGCGGCCATAAGTGCGCCCTGTGTCGGTGATCGTGTTAGCCTGTGCTCATGTCTGTGTCCGTGTGTGTTTCCGTGTAGGGCCATGCGCTTGTGGGGCGACGACCCTGCCCGTGGGACAGTGCGTCTGCTTGGACATTTTGCCGGAGCGTGCGTCGCTGACTGTGCCGCTCCCGCCCCCTTTCCCCGCGGCATTGCTCCCCCTCGGCGCCCCGGCGCCCACCCAGGCTTCAAGTTCGCCAGCATCAGCTCCAGCGTCGGGGCCGGCATCCGCCCGGACCTGTCGCTGGTCCTGGCCAGCGAGCGAGCCGCCACGCCGCCCACCGCGAACCCGGGCCCGGCCATGGACGCCATCCAGGCGGCCTGGGTCCAGGATCCGCACGCCCGCCCGGTGGCCTCGCACTTCCGTGCCCTGTGCGTGGACCTTATGTGAGCAAAGGGCCGCGCATGGACCCGGGCTGGGCCTTCGCTGCTGCCATGCTCTGGCGCTGGCGCCGGGAAGGCCCAGCCCGGCATGTGAGCCTGGTCGCCGGCCAACCGGGCGGCCCTGCGCCACGGCCAGCTGCACTATGTGCCCGTCATCCGGCTCGAAGAGGGGCATGGTCGCCTTGTGCCCTGCGCGACCGCCACCCGCACCCGACGACGAGCAGACCACTAAACTCGCCCGGTGGCCAGCCCCGCCAGCGGTGGCGACAGCGGCAAGCCAGGCGCCCCCATGCGTGTGTATATGTGTGTGTGTGTGTAGAGGGGGGGGGGGGACTGAGGCCCTGGGCGGCCCGGCCGCGGTCGCCCATCCCCAGGCCATGCCCACAGCCGCCAGCGAGTGAATGAGACACGGAGAGAGAGAGGGGAGGGGGGAGCCAGAAAGGCAGCCGGCGAGGCACGGCGACAAGGGGGCTTCGCCGCCGCGACGGCGGGCCCGCAGCCGGACTGCACGTGTTCCCCCTCTCGCGAGCAGTGCCGGCGCGAATGACAACCGGTGCCCGGACGGGCGGACGGACAGGGTGTGGGGGTGTATTTTTCCCGGGCCCAAGCGGGGCAGGGCCCAGCCCGGGGCGTCTCAGCCGCCGGGGCCGAGGGCCGCCATGGCGGCCTTCTGCCGGAGGGAGGCGGCCAGCGGCCGCGTGTGGGCATTCGAGTCCCAGGCCATCTGCAGAAGGTCCCCAAAGGAGGCCAGCAAGCCGGCCGGCATGCCTTCCAAGTCGGGCCGGGCACCGACCAGCACAGAGGCCGTGATCTCCTCAAAGCACATGCCTGGTTGCCAGGGCAGGGGGGGGGGGGGGCGCCGTTGGAGGCAGGTGTCAGCAGTCAGTCCATGGGTCACACCACATCCGCGGCCCGCCGGCTGGCCCAAGGGAACGTACCGGCCCAGGGGAGTGTGCGGTTGAGGCACTCCCACAGCATGATGGCCGCGCTGAAGATGTCCGCCGGGAGCAGGAGCTCCGGGTCCAGCGGGCGCCGGCGCTGGAAGGCGGCCAGCACCTCGGGCGCCGCGTACCGCGCCGTCAGGGCGTTCAGCTCCGGCGCCTCGGTCACCAGTGTCGACGACCGGTCGGTGTTGAGGTTGCGCGAGGTGCCCAGGTCGCCGAGGGCCGCCGTCCAGGAGCCATCCGGGCGCTGGCTGGCAAACACGTTGCCCGGCTTCAGGTCGCGGTGGGCGATCCCCTGCGCGTGCATGGCCTCCAGCCCGGAGGCCCACTGCTGGGCGATGTCCAGGATGGTGCCCTGGTCCAGGGGGACGTCCGAGTGCAGCAGCGTGGCCAGGTCCGTCTGGTAGCGTTCCATGACGATGGCCGGCGGCTGCTCGCTGTAGCCGTACAGCCGGACGACGTTCGGCGCGTCGCGCAGCAGCCACATCAGCGCCACCTCGTTCTGGAAGAGGGTCACCTGCGTGGGGGTCAGACGCTCGGCCTTCAGCTGCTTGATGGCCACGGTGCCCGGGCAGCCCAGCCGGTCGGAGATGCCGGCCCCGACGGCGCGCGCCGCGTAGACCGACGCCTGGGTCCCGGCACCGAGCGCATCCTCGTTGAGCGGCGAGAAGTCGCTGGCGATGCTCACCAGGATGCTGCCCGGGAGCGACAGCTCCACGATGGTGTTCATGACGGTGGCGTCCTCATCGTCGCGGGCCTGTGCGGCGTGGTGTCAGTAAACACATGTGCTCGGAGGGCAGAGTGAGCGGCGGCGACCGCCGGCCAGCAGGGACGCACCTTGCTCGGGGCCCGGCGCCGGCGACGCAGGCGCAGGAAGAGGAGGACCACCAGCAGCAGCAGCAGGACCAGCAGCAGGAGCCCCAGGCCGAGGCCCAGGCCGAGGGCTGCCCCGGCAGGGGGCCGGGAAAATACGGGCGCGTGTGGCCCGGAGCCGGGGCAGGAGAAGGCGCGTGTCAGAGGCATGGGCAGAGGGGCGGAAGGAGGGAAGGGACGGCGCCCGCACCGAGTCGGCCGCGAGAGGGGCCGGCCACCGAAGTGCAGTCCCCGGGGCCGGGGCCGGAGCAGGCCTTGCACCGGGCGTGGCAGGGCAGGCACCCCGGCGGGCGGGCGTCCTCCTGCGGGAAGTACCCGACCGGGCACTCGCCCACACAGGAGGCCCCGCCGAGCAGCAGGAACCCGGGCAGGCACTGGGCGCATGTGTCGATGGCCGGGCAGGCGAGCGCCCCGCCCGGGGCCAGGTCGCACGGCGACATGTCGGGCCCGGCGGCGCAGCGCTCGCAGTGCTTCGGGCAGGCGAGACACACGCGCGCCGGCCGGCCGGCACCCGGGGAGGGGAGCTCGGCCGGGGCCAGCTCGCTGGCCGGGCAGCCGGCCACGCAGGCTCCGGCCTCGACGTCCAGCCACTGCTCGGCCAGGGGGCAGGACGTGCAGTGGGAGGCCGTGCCGAAGCATGTGCCGCAGCCGGCATGGCAGGGGGCACAGGCGTCGGCCGACCCGGCGGCCAGGAACTCCCCCGGCGGGCAGGCCCCGGCGCAGGCCCCCGTCCGAGCGGTCCGGACGAGCCCCCGGTCGCAGGCAGTGCACCAGGCGGTGCAGCCCCAGCCGGCCTGGACGTCCGCCTGACAGGCGGCACAGCCCCCGGGGCAGGCATCGCACCGGCCGGTTGGCGGGCAGGCCAGCCACCCGGCCGGGCAGCCGGCCACACAGCCCCCGGCCCCGGTCAGCAGCAGGCCCGCCCGGCAGGAGGAGCACCGGCCCGGGCCGGAGCAGGTCAGGCACTCGGCATCGCAGGCCCGGCACACGCGGCCGGCGTCGGCGAAGTACCCGGCCGGGCAGAGGGTGACACAGGTGCCCTGGTGGAGGAGGCTGCCCGGCGGGCAGGCCGAGCACTGGCCGCTGCCGGGCCCGAGGCATTCGGCGCAGGCGGCGCTGCATGGGAGGCAGGCGCCCGATTGGCCAAAGAACCCGGCCGGGCAGGCGCCCAGGCAGGTCCCATCCATGTGCAGGTACATCGAGCCGCCGCACGACAGGCAGTGCCCCGGCTCCGGCCCGTAGCACGTGGCGCAGGTGGCGTGGCAGGTGGCGCACAGCCCGCCCTGCGCCACCGAGGAGGGGGGGCACTCGGTCACGCAGCTCGGCGCGTCCAGCAGCCACCCGCGCTCGCACAGGGCGCATGTGTCGTTCGACTCCGGGCAGCTGGCGCAGTGCGCCCCGCAGGGGGCGCACCCGGCCGCCGAGGTGTGGTGCCCGGCCGGGCAGGCCGGCACGCAGCGCGTGGGCGACTGCCCGGCCGGCAGGGCCAGCAAGTCGGGTGCGCAGTCCGGCAGGCACTCGGTGCTCCGAGTGCCCATGCACTCGGCGCAGGAGACATGGCACGGCAGGCACCGGCCGGCCACGGCCACATGCCTGGCGGCGCAGGCCTGCACGCAGTCGCCGCCCTGGAGCACGGCCCCGACACACCGCCAGCAGTCCTTGTCCGTGGGGCCGTTGCACGTGGCGCAGGCCGCGTCGCAGGGCAGGCAGTCCGTCCCCTGGAGGTACTCGCCCTCTGCGCAGCCCGACTCGCAGGTGCCGACACCGGGGGCCACCTCGACAAGTTCCAGCCCCGGGCCACAGTCCGTGCACTGGTCCGGCTGGCCGTCGGCGCAGGCGGCGCAACTAATGTCGCACGGCTGGCACGACTCGCCGTTGCTGAACGACCCGGCCGGGCAGGCACCGACACATGCGCCGGCCGCCGTCAGCAGGAGGCCCGCCTCGCAGGACAGACATGCGGCGCTCGTGCAGGAGGCGCACCCAGGCTCACAGGCGACGCACGTGCCAGTGCCGCCGGGGCCCGGGGCGGGCCCGGCCCAGCGGAACCCCTCGGCGCACACCCGGCACTGGTCCGGCCCGCCGGCGCACAGGGCGCAGGAAGCAACGCACGCGGCGCACCGGGTGAACGCGACATACTCGCCCGGGGGGCAGGTGCTGCCGCAGAGGGACGGCGCGCCCGGGTCCGGGTCCAGGAAGATCATCCCCGGCCGGCAGATGGTGCAGGTGGCCCCGTCGGTGCAGGCGGTGCAGGAGCTGTCACAGGGCTGGCACATGTGGCTGGCATTGAGGAAGTGCCCGGCGGCACAGGCAGTGCAGTCGCTGGCCGAGGAGCAGGAGCTGCATGGCCCGGGGCAGGGGGCGCAAGTTTGGCTGGCGGCATCGCCCCAGCTGCCGGCCGGGCACCTTTCCAAGCACAGGCCCTGATGGAGGAAGTGGCCGGCGGCACATCCGATGCACGAGCCCGGGTCGCCAGGGGTGCGGCACTCGGCGCACGTGGCGTGGCAGGGCTGGCAGGCGGCGGCGGCCGACGCGCCCGCCGGCAGCGCATGCCCCGCGCCGCATGCCAGGCAGTGGAACGCACTGTCGGAGCCGGGCACCTGCCCGCAGGATGAGCAGGTGTCGTGGCAGAGGCACAGGTGGCCGCGCTCGTGCAGCCCCTCCGGGCAGGAGTCCAGGCAGGAGTCCGGGCTGGTGAAGGCCCCGATGGACCGCCGGCAGGCCGTGCAGTCGGCCGCCAGCGGCCCGTTGCACGACAGGCAACGCTCATGGCAGGGCGTGCACCCGGGCCCGAAGGTGCCGGGCGGGCAGTGGCCCCCGGCCGGCACGGACACAACCAGCAGCTCCTCGGTCCCGGTGGCCAGGAGCAGGCCGACATCCGGCCCCGCGGCCGAGGCCCCGGCGGCCGGGGAGCCGGCGGCCGGGGAGCCGGCCGGCAGGAGGACCACATTGACAGGGGCCACGTGCGGGAGGGTGGTGCCCAGCGCGACGAACCGGGCCGGCTGCAGCCAGCAGGGCGCATTGGCCGTGGCCGACGGGCAGTGCAGCAGCGCCAGGCCGACATGCTGCGGCGTCAGGAGGACCAGCGCCGCCGGGTGGTGCGGCTCGCCCAGGGGCCGCAGGTCGAGCCCCATGAACCGGAAGGCCCCCTGGGGATTGGCCGGGAGGGGGCCGAGCGTTTGCCGCGTGTGGGGCAGGTGCACCGTGCGCCAGGAGGCCCGCATGCCCAGCGGCACATGCCACACCTCCCAAGAGACCAGGTCGGTGGCTCGGTGCGGGGGCGTGAGCATGGCCAGGAAAAACTCCCCCCCGAAGAGGGTCCGGTCGGTCGGCAGGACCACCGGCTCGAAGGAGCCCGGCATCTGGGGCAGGGCCGCCAGAGGGGCGAGCGTTTGGGGATGCCCCTGGACGATGGCATCCAGGGGCTGGAGCACGGGCAGCCCGTCGCGCAGCAGGAACATCCACGAGGCGCGCCCATCGCCGGCGGGGAAGAGCCCCGAGGGGAAGGCCGCCGGGTGCTCGAAGACCTCCGGCAGGGGGACATAGCTCGGGGGCTGGGTGTGGCCGGCGGAGAAGAGGAGCAGCCCGGCGTCGGTGAGCACCGTCACCCGGTCCGGCCCATAGGGACGGATGGTTTGGCAGCCGATGCCCACGAGCTCGCTCTGGGTCACCACCTCCACCGGGCAGGTGGAAGCCGAGGGGTTGGCCACGAAGCCGGTGCCCGCCTGGCAGAACATCTGCCCATAGGACAGGGACCCGCCGGCGCACAGGAAGAAGCTGGCCAGGGCGTGAGAGTCGTCGGTCCACGGGCTGGGCGGCCGGGTTTCCAGGTATGCGTGCACGAATTTCGCGCCGAAGGGCCAGATGAAGGGCTGCCGGAGGGACAGATGCTCCGGGGCATGCTGCCCGGGGGCCAGTTGTAGTAGGGCCGGAAGATTGGACGAGGCCACGAAGGCCAGATAGTGATGGGGCTGCTGGTCGAGGGGCAGCCGTGGATTGAGGAGTTGTGGCGGGCCGCCACCCTCCGGCGGCGGGCAGAGCGACGTGTGGGCCAGAAGCCGGAAGTCGGCAATGGCGCCGGCGTCGATGGGCAGCCGGTGCGTGGAGGCGGCGAACGCGCGCGAATCCGGCGGCGAGGCCGGCACGCACACGGTCCCTGCCTCGGTGTAGGCCGACTCGCACTGCGGGAGGCACTGGGTGATGCCGGTGCCCGTGTCAACTTGCAGTAGGTGCCCGCTTTCGCAGACGACACACTGATCGGCGAGACACTGCAGGCAATGTGCCGTCGAACAGGGCAGGCAATGTGGCTCTGCAAGGGTGTGTTGGCGGAGGG